GGGGATTAAAATGCATACCAATTTATCTATATTGTTCTAATTTCTAAGCAGAGAGTATAACCATATATGACTTATGCATACTTCTTTAAAAAGTAGATAACAGAAATAAGACTGGAAGAATGCTAAATTATTAGCATTTTAAATTCTAATATGAGTAAGTTATTGGTTTCTGCTTTGTATTTTTTGTCATTTTCAAATTCCTAAAATACTAATAAAAATATAAATTTGATTCTAATTCTAAAAAAAAATCATATCTAGCTACAATGAAAGTTGTGGAAGTGGAACTTAAAACCATTAAGTTTATAGGAGAGTTCTGGAGCATCTCAACTCATTGGAGAGATACTGGGATGAAAAGTGTCACTCTAGGTAATTGATACCCAAGGACTCACTTATCTCATAAATTATGGAGCTGGTTTTGAAAGTTTAACGATAGTTCTGACAATTACTAACTTTCTTTCCTTGGGAAGTAACAGGGTATAAGGAAAAACATTTCATCTTCCCTTCGGTCTTCTCAAGGCTCTGCTTATGCTTCTGACCTCGCCTAGGCAAGGAGGGCTAATAGTTCAATTTGCAAAGACTTGCAGAGAAGGAGATTACACACATTGAGTTAGCCCTTCATACATCATCATTCTGAAATTGAAGGTCAGTTCTTCTGCAACAATTTAATACCACTTTCTCATTTTACATCCTTGAAAAATATAAAGGACCATTTATTCATCCTCTCTCATTTGGGACACATCACAAAGGACACTTGAAACCTTATGTTAATTCCTAATAAATTTTTAAATCCTTCAACTGGCTTTTGTGTCCAAGAGAGAAATTTTAGGAACAGGTCAGTCTGTTGAGACATTGATCCAGCATATAGAAATAAAATCTGAAAAGGTGATTAGAATAGTAGCTATTGTGTGGTAGATGCTGTTCGTATTAGCTATTACTACCAATTCTACAGCTTTTAATTACAACCAATTTCAACATTAATACTACTACAGTGAGAATAAACAGACATTATAATTGTTCTAAACTGTACGAGACAGCATGGTGAAACTTTCTTATAATCCCAACTACTTGGGAGACTGAAGCAGGAGAATCACAAGTTAGATGCTAATCTGAGCAACTAACTGAGACTCTGTCTCAAAATTAAAAGGGTTGATAATTTAGCTCAGAGCTTGCCTCATATATACAAGGCCCTGGGTTGAATCCCCAATGGAGATGGGGGTCAGGGTCAGAAAAGAAACACACAAAATATTTTTGTATGATGTTTGAAACAAATTTTTTAAAATTAAAAACTTTAGAACATGCCTGTAATCCCAGCAGCTCAGGCAACCATGAGCCCCAAAGTACCTCCAATACCACAGTACCACTAAGTGGTATTCCACTAAGAAGTACCTCCAAAGTACCTCTAGTACCACTTCTTAGTGGAAGAGCCAATGTTGTGTTGTCCCCTGGTTCTCTCCAGGTGGCAGTTGGTCATCAGGGAATGGTGGAGTCGATCCAGGGATAGGTAGCAAGGCAGCCAGTTTCGCCAATGTCCTTGGAGACGAGCTCTCTGATGTGGCAGGGCAAGCGGTTTATATACAGTTCCAAGATGGTACTCATTGTTTTTATGCTCCAGCATTGTTCTGTCTCTAAGTGATGGTCCTATCAATTGCATCCAGACATGACTAAGCATGCCTGTGGCTGCTGTTCCTTGCAGTAAGCAACTCAGTGAGTCCCAGCATGTCTATAGCAGATGCTCCTTATAGGTATCCACACTTCTCATAGGAGCCTGCTGCATGTGATTTTAGTACCCCTGTGATGAAGGCACTGCTCCTTTTCAAAACTCTTCACCTCTGCTTAGATCATTCCCATTGGTCTCTAAAGTTGATTAGAAAATGTATGTGCAGGGCTGGAGGGCAGAGGTGGTGGGAGGGGAACCAAGGGCTTAGGTTTTAGTCTCTGTCTTTTTCCTTCCCTTTCAGGTCCTGAGGACTCCCTTTTCTACTTTATGAATTTGCCAAAAGCAAGAGTAATATTCCCTCTCTCTCGGCATTTAAACAAAAGGAGATTAATCATGTGAACCTGTGAAGTTCTTGTTGGAGGAGGAATGGTAAACCAATAGTCTCAGCAGAGTTGTAGTCCATCTTCTTGTCCCCAGCCTCTTGCTATTGTGGTACCATAAGAGCTTGCAGTGAAGCCAAGAGAGAAACCACGTAAGAGGGTGGGTTTGGTCAAAATGTTTGAGTTCCTCTAAAATTCCTATGTTGAAATTTAACTCCTAATGTGATATAGTACGAGGAGATGGTGTCACAGGAGAGTGGGGAGCTGAAGCGCCAAATTTTGGTTCTCGTGTCCCAACAAAAGAAATTTTAAAGTCAGACATGAAAACTCAAGCAAGAGAATTGTATTGAGTGAAAATGAAGCAAAGAATGCACTCAAGACTCTCTGAACAAATAATGACAAAGGAAACAATGTTGCTTCCAAACTTATTCCTGTTTGATGTTTGCCAGATGTTGGTTCCATCTTCTGCAGTCATTGCCAATCAGATGTTTAATGCCTCTTTCACACTGGGTGGGAGAGGTTTTGACTCTAGTTGGTCCTCTCTGGAACTGTCATGGTGTTTAACCTATTCAGGGGGTCTCATCTGCAAGTCAATTCTACATCCCAGCCCTCCCCATTGCTTTCCAGGAAGGTGTTAAGCATGACTGACTAGTTGTTTAGAACTCATAGTATGTCTGCATTTGTGGAATCATCACATGTTGAGAGGTTTATTCTCAACTTTTAAGTTTAGAAACAAAATTTGACTACTGCACTGAAAAACTGATAAAAAGTGTTAAGATTGGATCCCTGCTCTCAACTCCAATTACTGTTTGTAAGGTCCTTGCTTAGCATCTGGATAGCCATCTTAAGTGACAGCCTCCATCTTAAGAAAAAGTTTCCGGTGCTTCTGAGAAAAGCTCACCATTCCCTCATACCAAACCAACCCTTCACCACCTGCATTCTTTCCTGCCCAAGGGCGTATCACCACTCCTTCATACCAACCCCACTCTTAACCACTTGCATTAGGACCTGCTCTGCTCTAATCCCTGAGTCTGCACCATTAAGTCAAGGAACCCTAGCATGTATAGCCTCTCTCCATCTATGGAGAGATGGCCTTTATTTGTCAGCTGTGTGTGTCTCTGCCTGGTGTCCGTCTTTCATTTCTCATTTGCCTGGCTCCAGGTTTCTCATTTTCCTTTCACTGTTGTCTATAGTCTTATTTGTCTGTAGAATAGATTCCCTCAAATCTAATTACTTCTTCAAATAATTTAACTTTTCTAAGGTTTTCAAAGCAAAGCATGAAATTCTCAAAGAATGCATATACTAGCTGTGTAGGGAAGAACAGCATTTTAATTTGCATTTGAATTTTTTTTCTAGTAACCATGATAAGTTCACATACTTTTTACTTAGTCTATTTTATTTGGCTGTAACTTTTCCAGAAAGCAAATTCCTTTTGAGTGAGAGAAAGAAGCAGGGATCTGGGAAAACTTTAGAAGTTAGGAACAAGGTTCTGCTGCAGGAGCTTTCTAAATAGTCTCTTCATTTCCCCTTCTGAACCCTATCCAATCAGCTCTTCCCATGGGAACCAAAATGATCACTTAGAAACTTTTATCAGATCATGTCTTTCTCCTGATGAAACCACCGGATTTTTTGGCTCCCAATGCTTTTTTTCTTTTTGGAACTGGGGGTCGAACCCAGGGCTTTGCGAATGCAAGGCAGATGCTTTGTCACTGAGCTACATCCCAGCCCTCCCCATTGCTTTCCTGGTGGGTGTTATGATGCTGAGGATTGAAGGGCTGCTTCTCCCCAGGCCCAAGTTGCTTTTAAAATAAAATTCAGCACCTGTGGTAGGTGTTATGATGCTGAGGATTGAAGGGCTGCTTCTCCCCAGGCCCAAGTTGCTTTTAAAATAAAGTTCAGCCTCTGTAATGATGGATAAGGCTGTTATACAACCCCTTTCACTCCTGAGTAGCCACGTGGGTCTCCCCTTTGTTTCACAAATATCCCACTTTGTTTCCTCTTCAGAGCTCTTTTCTCAGAGCATCACACACTTGTTTCTKCAGAGTTTAGCTCAAACACCACCTTCTATGACACGATTTCCACTCCTCCCCATCCCATTAATCCTGTTTTATTTTCCTAGAGCACCTATCACAGCCTGAAATCTTCATCATTTGTTGGTTCACACGTCCAGGCTAGAACGTCAGCTCCGACGGATGCAACCCTTTTTCTCCAATGGCCCCGTTATTAGTGGAACCAAGGCGATCTATCCTGCAGGCTCTCTGTGCCCTCTTTTGTGGTTAAATGCTGCGAGCACGCTGAAGTACAGCCAGCCAGCCACAAAGCCACATTCTTAAAGAAGCCAGCACTTCCTAGCAAAGGCATTTCTAGAAGCTCCAGGGGAGGAGGTCTGAGTAGGGAATCAAGGAGCCAGAGGTGGAGGAGTGGAGAAGGTATTGGGTGCAGCGCAGTCTTCCTAAGCTCCGGAGCATTGAAGGCCTTAATGGTGCCGTACAGGAGAGGCGGATATTGAAAGAGTTTCTTTTTCGTTCTTCTGAGACAAGGAACTGATTTGAGAAAAAGGAGAAGAAACCGGAAAAGAGAAACCAGACACCGATATGCCCCGCAGCTCTGGGGCGGACTCTAGGGAAAACCCTTAAGAAACGACTCCAGTCGCTTCAAGTGCCACCCGCTGCAGACGGGTGGACGGATTGGAAAGCGCTCAAATAGATTTCAAAGCACTAAATGTACCTGACACCTTTCCCTGAAGTTTAATTAAAAATAAAACAACAACAACAACAACAACAAAAAACCCTCAAAAAAATTTTTAAAAAGTCTATATTTATGGAGAAGACGGTCAGGAGTCAAGTCCCGAGATTCCCGCCCCTCCGGCCTCTCAGGCCAGGCCTCTGGTTGGGCGGAGCCTGTCCGCTGACGCCGCCGGGGCGGAACTGCGCAGGCGTCGCGCGGGCTCGCGGGAGGCGTCGCGCGGCGGCCAGTTCGCGCGGGAGCGGGGCGCCTAGGCCCCTGGGCTGCAGGTCGCTGGGAACGGAAGCCGCCGCGGGACGGCGAGGAAGCCAGGATGGCGACCCCAAGCAGGAAAACAGCGAATCCGAGCCCCCTGGCTTCCAAGAGGGCTTTCCCGAGAGATCCTTCCTCGGAGGTCCCGAGCAAGAGAAAGAATTTGGCCCCGCCACCGTCGTCGCTGCTGCAGTCGTCCGGGCCTTTTGTGGAGGGCTCTATAGTCCGCATCGCGATGGAGAACTTCCTGTGAGTGGCCCTGAGGCCGCGCCGCGGCAGGGCAGGCCAGGTGGCCCGCAAGCCGGGGCGGGGAGGGGGGCGTGTGGGTGTGTACCTGGCCTGAGTGACCCGGAATTCGAGCCAGGCTCCTCTGGAGGGTTACTCTCCTAGGCCGTGGAGACTGACGTGTTGGGATGTGTCTTGTGTGTTGTTTTATTCATTCCGCCAACGTTTTTTCGAAGGCGTCGTATGGCAGTCAGTAGATATTAAGTGACTAGGTCTCTGCCTGCTGGGAGTCGCGATCTAAAGAGGACTTAGTCTGCAATTCTCAAAAGTATTGCCCTGGGAATTCAGAGGCAACAATTATATCAGAGTCACAGTGATGTGTGGCAGATTTTTTGAAGTATAGGCATTAGCACGGTGGACAGAGTAGATAAGATGGTAATGGTTGTGCTGGATGGGGGTTGAGAGTGTACCAAAAAATAAAACCTTACCCAGTTGCTGTACTTTCCTATAGACCCTTGACTCCTCCAAATCCAGCTCTCTTCCTTGGATCCTCATCTCTTCTTTTAGACAACTAGTTATCATTTTAGAACCTAAATATGTTGTAACAAAAATATCATGTATCTAGCGCGTTACAGTTCATTTTTAAGGCCTTTTTGTTGTTGTTGTTTTCTTTTTCTTTTTTTTAAACAAGCTTACCCATAATGGCATAGAGTCACAGATTGTTGTAACAATACCACCATTTTTTCCCCCAAGCACTTATTTGCCAGGTACAGAACTAGGTGTTCTATTGATTCATTGCTATTTATTTCTCCCTAACTATATCTTACAATCTTATCTGAGTTAAACGTGGAGAGGTTAATTTTGCCCAGGTTTACATACCTAATAAGGAGCTGAATTGTTGTTTGAATCCAGATCACATAAATGTAGTCAAGTAGGTAGAATCCATAATAATATGTATCAGGATGCTATGTGGTCACAAAGGATGTAGTGGTTAATTTCATCCACAACTGTGAGAAAGAGCTTTGTAAAGAAAATATGAAAATCTTTAAATGAAGGAAAGAGCATTACCAGTAGAAGGAACTGGTTGAAAAAAAGTTTGGAATACTTTAGGAAGTGTCAAGTATTTCAGTATGACAAGGATGTGAGTGAATATGTATGTAGATAAAGATAAGCAATCAATGAGTCTCTGTATTTTTACCATGCTAAGAAATTTCTCTTGTAGACAGTCCAGATGTGTTTTAAGCAGGGTATGGTGTAGTTTCTGTTAATCTGGTAGCAATATGAAGCATGATTTATTTAGAAAGGATACAAGATTGGAGGCAACAAGACTTTTTCAATCTAAAGGCAAGAGATAAGAGTTTGAACATAGTAGTAACTGAGCTAAAAGGAAGAGATTGGCAGGATCTGGCTACACATTGTGAGGAAAAGGAAGGTGGAGAGAGGAGTGCAGTCTTTCCCAAAGTCCCTACCTTGTCTTACTAGTGTGGTGCAATTCAGAAAAGGGAGCAGTGTTCGAACAAATAATACATACCTCTTAGGTCCTGTGACTTAAAGTTTCCTGTGGGATGTCTAAGAGAACTCACAAAATTATGAACAGGTCAAAGATTTGGGAATCATGCCTCTAGATAATTGGTTGAGATTACAAAGATTTTTGAGATTGACCAAAACAAAATATAAATTAGAGGAATAGAAGACTTTACATTACTGGTGAAAGATCTTAGGCTGAAAAGGAACTATTCAGGGAGTTAAAGTGAGAACTATGGGAGATTGTTACTCGGAGGAGCTAAGGCAAAAGAATGTTTCATCTGCCACATTGAAGTCACACAACAGGATTGAAAAGAGCCCATTGCACTTAACAATTAGGAAGTCCTTGACCATTTGATGAAGCATTGGAAAAGAAAGCAGAAGAATGAATGAGGAATGAGGAAGTAAAGGTTGGATTCAAAGTGAAAGAAAACTGCTTGTAAGGTACAGAGCTAGGTGAGATTTTGTTTATTTTAATGATGAGAAGGCTTTGAATTTTAGGAGTGAAGTAGGAAGAGGTAGGCTGAGAGAATTAGTAAAGGAGTAGAAGGGATAGACATAGAGAACTCAAGTGACCTGGAAAGAGTAGAGAGAGGTTCCTATGAGTGAACCAAGACCAATGGAAGTGGGAATAGAAGGAGAGATATCTAGGTTGAAGAAATAGAGTACAAAGTCTTAGAGGAGGAAGCATAAGCTTGTCAAACAACTGAAGAATTACATTATAGGTAGAATTTAGAAGTCTTAGTAGAGACTAGAAAAAAGTGGAAAGATGAAGCAAGGACTAAATTACAAAGGGTCCTTTGTTCCTTTAATTTTTTTTAACAAGTGACATATTTGCATGTCTTCCAACAAGACCTAATGATTGAGTGATTGGGAGGTGGGGACAAGTGTGGGTAGAAGCCAGAAATGAAAGAATGAAAGGTGATGTAACACAAATGCCTAGGTTTTTGTTACAGAAATGAGGTAAATGATGAAACTGTTTACTAAGTGACCACAAGAGTGGTTTGGGATGGGAAAGATAATGTGTTAAGTTTAAGGTGATTTTTATGGGACATCCAAATTGAGTTACTGAGGAGGAAATTTCATATTTAAGCCATCTGGGCTGACATTCCAAAAGTAAATGCTATGAAGAATACTTATATGAAATGCTAATAACAAAGTCTGTTGAATGAGGAGAGAGTGGGCCTTTGACAACAGGAGGATATCAGAGAAAAGGAGATTCCCAAGAGAGTCAAGAATTTTTTTTTTTTTTTTCTTGAAGTACTAGGGATTGAACCCTGGGAATACACATGCTAGGCAAGTTCTCCACCACTGTGCTACATTCCTAACCTTTTGTTAAAGATTTTCATTTTCTTTTTTATATTTAGTTATTTATTTATTTTTGGTATCAAGGATTGAACCCAGGGGCACTGAACCACATCCCCAGACCTTTTTTTTGTATTTTATTTAGAGACAGGGTCTCACTGAGTTGCTAAGTGCCTTGCTGAGTTGCTGAGGCTGGCTTTGAACTCGCAATCCTCCTACTTCAGCTTCTTGAGTCGCTGTGATTAAAGATTTTATTTTGAGACAGGGTCTGACTGTTGCCAGAGTTGGCTGATGATCCTGCCTCAGTCTCTCCAGTAGCTGAGGAGCTGAGATTACAAGCAAGCCTCACTGCACCTGGCTCAGAAGAATGAATTTTAAAAGTGCAGAAGTTTTGTTTTGTTTTTGGCAAGTTAYTTACTTGTAATATCTCTCTATTGTAGACTAGAAATTCTCAAGCTTTTCCCTGTTGTTTTTATTGTTAAATATCAGTTGTATCACTATTTTAGTATGATATTTGCACAGAGATTTCACAGCAGGGAATTCAGCTATTAAAAGAATGGGGCTTTTATGTGATAAGAGAAGTTCTATGTTGAAAATTTCCTGAATGTCTGAAGTTGCCAAACTCTGTTATTTTAATTATAATAAGGTTTCATCTAAGACCCAGCTGCTAACAAAACAAAGCATCTGAAAAGACAAAGTAGATGCTATACTGAGGTATGGGGTTAGAAAGCATTAAAACAGAAATGTTGCTCAATTACGTTACTTATATACTTGACAAATTAGTAGCAAGCTAAGCATTTTTTCTTGGGGAATTAGTTGGATGCTATATCTGAGAGATAACTGAAATATTGTAGGCAAAAGATATTTATTTATTCAAAGACAAGTTAGAAAATGTTGGAGTCAAAGTTTACTTCACATTTTGCCAAAGCTGGCAACTCCTAAGGATTAGATACTACTGCAAGTAGAGACTTTATGATATGAGAGAATATTACAAACATGCTTGGTGGTAAAGCATTCTTGCTTTCTCCCATAGGAATAAAGATTATTCAAACATAGATTCTTTGGTAAATCTTATGGGAGCATATTTAAAAATAAATGTTATTTTTAAAAATTTGACAAGTCATTGGGTTGATGTATCTTTTTACCTTTTTAATTTAAATAGAAATAATTTGGTTGGGTTTATTTCAAAATTGAAATATAGTAAGTAGCCATTAAGCATTTTAATTCAAGAGAAATATAAATATAAAATTATAAAATCCATATCCTCTCATAAAATTTGTGTAAAAGTTATTTGTACAGCTAGGCACCATGGTAGCTTACCAAGGCCTTAAGCAACCTAGGGAGGCAGGCCCTGTCTTAAATTTTAAAAAGGGGGATGAGGTGTGGGGGGTTGAAGATGTGGTTCAGTAGTTAAAAGCCCCTGGATTCAATCCCTGGTAGCCCCCCCTCCCCCCAAAATAATTTCTTTAGTAGCTTTGATATAGTTACCATGAATTGTAATTATTTTGAAAAGGATGAATTATATTATCCTTTAACTTTTTTGGAAATATTTTGGGAGGTAAGTACCAAGGATTAAACCCAGGGGTATTCTAACATTGAACTACATCCACAGCCCGCCCTTCCTTCCTTCCTTCCTTCCTTCCTTCCTTCCTTCCTTCCTTCCTTCCTTCCTTCCTTCCTTCCTTCCTTTTTTGTAGAGGGTGGACATGCTGAAGATTGAATTCTGGGGGCACTCAACTATTGAGCCACATCCCCATTAGAGACAGGGTCTCACTGAGTTGCTCATTGCCTCACTTTTGCTGAGGCTGGCTTTAAACTTGGGATCCTCTTTCCTCAGCCTCCCGAGCTGCTGAGATTATAGGCATGTGCCACTGCCTGGCCCTTTCTATTTTTTATTTTGAGCTAGGATCTTAATAAGTTGTGGAGATTGGTATTGAACCTAGCAATCCCTTCCTCCTCAGCTTCCCAAGTCACTGGGATCAATAGGCGTATGCTACCATGCCCAGTGATAATAGGCCTATTTTTGAAAAGACATAAGTAATCTTAGGTTTGCAGAGAAGTTCTTATTTTGATATGCATTATCACCTTTTCATTTCTTCTACTGATTTTTCCCTCTATTAAAAATCCTATAAGACTGGAGTATCGCTTAGTGGTAGGGTATTTAGTAGCATATGGGAGGCCATGGTTTGATCCCTAACATTCCCCTTAAACAAACAAACAAAAAGCCATATAAATTGCATCAAATTTGTAAGGATACCTTTTTTTTTTTTTTTTTTTTTTTTTAGTGAATTTGAGGAAGGTTGTTGGGACAAGTGCATGGAGTACTGCATATGTGACATGTTAAGGGCATCTGAGTGGCAGGCCACTCCCCTTGTGCTAGGCACATGAGCTGTAGTCTGCTTACCTGATAATGAGGCCATGTGTTGCAGTCCCTGTGCTTACTCCACAACCCACTCCTCTATTGGTTGCTGCAAGGACAGTTAGGAGAAATTGCATTGGTGGCTGCCTGTAATCTGCTTAGCTCATACCTGATTATATATATATAGTAACTGTGCAATAAAATCAGACCTGCTTCCTGCTTGGTCTCTGGAGGTCTTGATTATCGTCGACTCCGAAGCCACACTCTCCTCTACCCTGTTCTCACTGAATGAGAGAGAACCCACGCAGAAGGTCTTAGATAATGATAATATAAAGCAAGAAAAAAGAGCTTTTGAGCCAGGCATGGTGGTATGTGTACCCTTGTAATCCCAGCTTCTTGGGAGGCTGAGGCAGGAGGATTAGAAGTTCAAGACCAGCCTGGGCAACTTACTAAAATAAAATTTAAATGGCTGAGAATGTAGCTCAGTGTAGAGCACTTGTCTAACGTGTGAAGTTCAGGGTTCAGTCCCCAGTCGTGTCCTGCCTCCCCCGAAGTGCTTTTTTTTCTTTTGGTACTGGGGATTTAACCCAGCAACACTTTACCACTGACCTACATTCCCAGCTCTTTTTTTCTTTTGAGGCGGGGTCTCACTAAGTTGCTTAGGGCTTCAATAAGTTGCTGAGGACTGGCCTGGAATTTGTGATCTTCCTGCCTTAGCCTCCTGAGTTTGTGGGATTACAGGCAAATGCCACCATGTTTGGACCCACAGTGCTTTTTTAAAGAAAATATTTTTTTCTCCTCTTACCCTGCTTCAAATTTTTACCCTTTTATAATACAGAACATATGATATCTGTGAAGTAACTCCTGGACCTCACTTGAATATGATTATTGGAGCCAATGGAACAGGGAAGTCAAGCATCGTGTGTGCCATTTGCCTTGGATTAGCTGGCAAACCTGCTTTCATGGGACGGGCAGATAAGGTAAGTAACTTTGATTACATTTTTTTTCTTTCCACTTTTTATTATTACATTATAGTTATATTCCCATATGGTGGGATTTGTTGTTACATTTTTTTTTTACATACATGTAAATAACATTTTAGGAAAATTCAATTCATTAGTTATTTTTAGAAACACATCAATTTCTACTTCTCAGTTTCTTAAATATAGCAAATTTGTAGTGTTTGAATATAATGAATGAATTTGGCAGGTGGAGAAGGTAGGAGATTATCATTTATAGAAGTGTATTATACCATATATTTAGAGAATTCTCCAAGTACCTACTAATTGAAGTCCTAGATATGTAATATGTTATTTTTTTAAATGGATTGCCAGACCAAGGGCAGAAACAAAACAGTGTGAATCTGAAGACATAAGCAAGTTCTGAATAGTTTCTCCCAGGGGCATTTGCTGATACCTTGTACATTAAAGCCTTGTTTTGAATTGTTTTGTACAGGTTTAGGGCATCTTAAAGGTAGAGAATGACTAGAAGATAAAACCTAGTAGTGCTATGTGTTAAATTTAACAACAATACTATAGAATTGAACAGGGGATTTACTTACTCCTCATTGTTAGATCTAGAGTTGGGGAAAAAAAGGAGGTCTTCCTAAAACTTCATAATCACATGTTTGGGGCCAGAGTTTGTATTACTTATATGACCTAAAGATCATACATTTTGATAGTTTAAGGTGGTGTGAATTAGTAATATCTATAGGCACCTGGCAGGAACCAATCTAAATCTTTTAAAGAAAAATAACATTTGGGGTTACTGTTGTAGTTCTGTGGTAGAGCACTTGCCTAGCATGTGTGAGGCACTGGATTCAAATCTCAGCACCACATATAAATAAATAAAATAAAGGTCTGTTGTTGACAACAACAACAAAAGAAAGAACATTTAATCCAGAATTTTAACAAAGTTTCAAGAAATCCATTGATACCTGAAAATTACAAAGCCTAGGAGAATATGAGTAAAATAAGTTAAAAAAAAAAAAACAGACTGTACAACCAGACTTACAAAGCTTGCAGATATATAATATAAACTAAGTGTATTTAATTTTGAGGAAATAAAATAAGTTTACGAGTACAACAAATAAGTGACAAAAAGATCAGTTCAATTCGAAAAATAATCAAATAGAGCTTAAAGAAGTGAAAAGTTTGTTAATGAAGGAGAGGAACTTGGTAGAAAGATAAAGCAGCAAAGAAGACATATTTGAGAAGAGAATTTGTGTACTCAGGTGTTTGAAAAAGTTTCTGAAAATGTAATAGAGAGATAAAAAGAATATATAACCAAGGTTAAGTGGGTAAAGGAAGATAGTCAGGTGTATATCTAATTACAGTTCCAAGGGGAGTTAGTAAACTAAGGAAGAGGTAATATTCAAAGAATGACTAGGAAATTTCCAGAAATGTTGGAAACCTTGAGTCTTCACATTCAAGAAGCCTAATAAATCCTGCACAGAAAAAAATGAAAGAAATCCATAAGTGCATATATTATAATGAATTTCAGAATACAGAATTTAAGTAGTACTTTTCCTAGAATGTGAGCAGGAAAAAAATGAACAAAATCTGAGCTCCTCACTAAAGAAAGTAAAATTGAGCTTCCCTAATCCAGAAATCCAAAATCCAAATTATGTAATGCCAAAATGAAGAATTCTTCACCATTACCTTTGCTGAAAGCATGAAATTATGAAAAATATTGTCTTAGCCAGGCATGGTAATATATGCCTATAATCCCAGCTCCTGGAGATGGAGAGGGATGACAGAAGAGGACCTCAGGTTCAAGGCCTGCCTCTGCAACTTAGTGAGACCCCATCTCAAAATAAAAGATAAAAAGTGCCGGGGATGTAGCTTAGTAGAGTACCCCTGGACTCAATCCCCAGTACTTCAAAAAATATGTACACATACCAGTCTRAAATTACTTTTAGACTATGTGTATTAAGTGTATGTAAAACAATGAATTTTGTGTTTAGACTTGGGTCCCATCCTCACAATATCTTCATTATTTATATGCCAGTACTCTTAAAAATAAAAAATAAAAAGAATAAAAATCTGAAACACTTTTGGTCCCAGATATTTTGGGTAAGGAATACTGAACCTGTAGATAAAATGCATAATATATTATGGCCAAAGTGAATTTCATTTGGGAAAAATGAATATATGTTTTAAAATAGAACTGCATGATCATCTCAGTACAGATGGAAAAAAGTATTCAGTTAAATTCCACAGTAACTTGTGATTAAAACTAATAAGGAATAAAGGGAACTTGCTTAATTTCATAAAAGATTATGAAAATATGTAGCAAGCTCAAGAACAAGTTGAGGTTATCTACTTTGACTACTATTAACATTGTATTGACAGTTATGGGCAGAATAGTAACATAAACAAAAGATAGAGAATTGAAAAAAAAAAAACCCTATCATTCTAAGATTTTATGTATGAATGTTTGCCTAAAAATCAAAAAAGATCTCTAAGCAAGACTGAATTAAAGTGGAAATTTATCAGGATTGCTAAATATAAGATTAGACCAAAATCAGTTTTATTTCTGTACAATAACAATGAACAAAAAATGCAGTTAAGATACATATCATTTATTAAATACTAGCAATAAGTTGCACAGAAATAAGTTGATTGAAGTCATATAAGACCTATGTGCAGAGACTAGGGGTGTAGTTCAGCAGTAAAATTCTTGTGTAGCATGCACTAGACCCTGGGTTTGATCCCAAGCACTACCAAAAAAAACTTATGTGCAGAAATTATAAAATTTTATTTAAAATCATTGAAGTTTTGAGTAAATGGAGAGATATTTTGTATGTTATTTTTATAAAAATGTCTTTCTTCACATTGATCTGTATATTTTAATATTATTCCAGTAAAAATTCCAGGATTCTATATAGCAAATTAAAGGTAGGCTTGAATTTGATATAGAGTGATACAAAAGAGTATCACTAATGTAATCTTAAAGAAACAGGAGAAAGTGGGAAACTTGCCCTACCAGATAGAAGGATTTAATATGAAGTTAGAAAAATTAAGACATGTGGGATTGGTATCATAATGTATAACAAAATGTTGAKATCCAGACTGTATAATAAGGAAATAATAACTTGGAATATAAATAGGCAGGAAAAAACCAGGCCTGGTGGTACACACCTGTAATTCCAGTGGCTCAGCAGGAGGATTGTAAGTTCAAGGCCTGTCTAAGCAATGAAAGGAGACCCTCAGCAATTTAACAACACCCCATTTCAAAGTGAAAAAAGAAATGGCTTGGGGATGTATGAAGCACCCTTGGGTTCAATCCCCAGAAATCTTTTGAAAATTTAGTTGTAAAATTTATTTTTAAAGCTTGAAATGTACATGATATTAAAAGTTTTATAGCTAGACTTAATATAGGGTAACCAGATTGAAGAAAATACCCCTTAAGATTATAAATAAGCTCATCCAAAATGTTTTCAATGTTATATTGAAGGCATTTATGAAGTGGAAAATATATTTTCATTATTAATAATTAGCTTTGTAACCTTGAACAATGGTCTGAACAGTTTTTCTTTAAAGGAGTTGAAGTAGTTAATCCCCAAAGATCAATAGTTAATTGTACAAGGACCAATTTTTATGAATATTGATGTATAGTTTCTTAGTTACCAGATCATGAGTTAGATTTTTGCCTGTCTCATGGTCTGTTAGATTATATTCCAAGCAGCGTACATTTTGCATGAATTTGTCTATGATAATTTTTATAAATATTCTGTATTTTTGTCATAAAGAAACTACATCTCATCCTTGGGTTGGTGGGATTTTTAGTGGAAGTGGTGGATACAGTATTTCTAGACACACATTGCAGCCCTTGGGATATTCATAGATTTAGTAATTAGGGAAAGCTTAAGCTCTTAGCAAAAATATTTTGATATTGTATTTTTGTTTGAATTCTAGTATAAAATTTTACACAAGCAATGCTATAATAAAAACTGCTTCCTAATTTTTCCTTCTCATTTGTACTAAGTATTTTAATTGTTGCAAGCTAATGTAACAGTTAGCTACTACAAAGATACCATTGTTTTCCCTGTCTTTGAGGAATTTTAAAAAGTTAAAATAACCTGGTCAAGATCATAAAACTTGTATGTAGTAGAGTTGGGATTTGAATCTAGATGTGAATGTTAAAGTCAGTACTCTTAATACAAAAATCAATCTGTAACTAAGCAATAAGTACTAAAAGTAATAGAAAATAGAGCTTGCAAATAATAATCTTTTAACAGTGGTAATAACAGTGATGAGGATTATAACCATAACATTAACATTTACCAAGCCCTTACCATATTCTGCTATGCTAATAAGCATTTACACTTAATTCTTAGGAGCCACTCCTTTTACATATGATGGAATTGAGACCCAGAAGGATGAAAAGGCCCAGAGAATACATACAGCTTAATGATTAAGATCCAATCTGAGGTTTTTAAGCCCAGGGTCTTTTTTCATGCTTATGCTCATAGTCGCATGGAAACTAGCTCCACTGTCTCTTTTACTATGTAATTATATTGCTCCTTTTTAAATGATGGCTCAGTGAGAATTACCATAATTAATAACAGCTAATATTAGAGTGACTTAACATTTAATCTGTGCAACTCTGCAGAAGTCTTCAGTATCAGGTTTAGTATAGGGCTTTGTGGTTGTATTATAGCACCTATTTTATCACCAGCCTTTTAAAATCTTCTGAGAGTGTTTAGTACAGTGGCTAAGGACACAGGCCCTAGAGCTAGGTTACCCAGATTCAGAACCATTTTTCTGACACTTACTGGCTTTGTCACAAGCTAGAATCTAACTACCTGGCACATAGAAGTTCCATCAATTTTAGCTGTTCTTATTTGTGGGAGGGAATAGAGAGGAACCTAGATTTGAGAAGAATGCCTTTAGAAAGTGGTGGGAATAGACATTCAAGTAATTGTTGAAGTAAATCTTGATTTGACAAATATGATTTTCCAAGTTTCTGTTACCATGGGACTGTCATCATACAACTAATTTTTTTCTTTTTTACACATTAGGTTGGGTTTTTTGTGAAGAGAGGATGTTCAAAAGGCATGGTTGAAATTGAATTGTAAGTGTTACAAGCCCTAATACCACCTTTTTTCTGAATAATTTCTTAATTTCTATTTGTGCTTTCCTGATGACTTTGGAAAGAAGAACTGATAGAACATTATGGCATAAATATTGAAAGTAATATTTGAAGAGAACTTGATGTAAACTAAATTTTTTAAATGCAGCTTTTAAAACTTTAATCATAAGAATTTTATTTTGGAAAAATTCTCAAGGACATTTCTGTATACCACTGCTAAATTTTCATTAAGAAGTTCATGGGCTGTGGTTGTAGCTAAGTGGTAGAGCACTTGCCTAGCATGTGTAAGGCTCTGGATTCGATCCTCAGTACCACATAAAAATTAATTAATTAATTAATTAAAGATATTGTGTCCATCTACAACTAAAAATATTTTTTAAAAAAAGGAGTTGCTGCTATGCCTACCTGTAATCACAGAAACTTGGGCAGCTGAGGCGGGAGGATTGCGAGTTCAGAGCCAGTCTCAGCAGCTGCAAGATGCTAATAAGCAACTTAGTGAGACCCTGTCTATGGTTCAGTGGTTTAGGGCCCTGAGTTTAATCCCCAGTACCAAAAACAAACAAAAAAGAAGTTGCTATATTTCATCTGTTAGCTTTTGCCAATTTTAAAATAGGTAGTTTTTAAAAATGCAAATATGTAACATTGAGAATGAAAGCCTTCTTGCTATAATTCTACTATTGAAATACAATATAATTCTACTATAGTTTGATGAATTTCATATGTAATGAATACTCAACATTTCTGTTATCATTTTTCATCCCCTATCAAGATATTGATAATTTATCACAATATTCTTTTCCTTTGAGCCTGCATATTCTCAATTGTTATCTCCTTCTCGGGAGCTATTTCTGATAGATCAGAATTGTGATTAAATCAAGGGGACAATCCTTGTACATGATTTTGTCTTTTTGATACATTATTTAGATGATTTTAAAGGATGTTTTGGAGTATTTTTGGAAAGTTTTGTAACTTTTGAGCTTAAAAACTTTTAAAGGTACATCTGAAGGCCTTATCATTTTACAGAATATAAGGAAATAATATTTGCCTAAAATTGTTGGAAAATTTTTATTTATTACAGATGAGAAATAGACATAGGAAGTAAAAAAAAAAAGTAAAACAAAAAATTATACCCACCTTACTAAAAAAAAAGACTATTTTATATAAAACCAAGACCTGAATAGAAAAGCAGATTATTGTTCTAGAAACATAAGATTAATGTTATCATTAATATATTAGTTGTTCTCCAAATTACTGAGTATGTTTGATAGAATTCCAGCAAGAGTCTCAACAGGTAAGTTTACAAGTTGCAAGTTAATTCTAAATTTCATCTTGAGAAATAAGTGTGCCAGCAAACCCAAGAATTTGAAAAAGCAGAATTGTGAATAAGACTTTTATGTACTGGATATTAAAGTATACTGTAATACTGTTGATGTAGAACTGTATGGTACTGATATAAAAGTTTAGAGGAACAAATGGAGAAACCAAGAAAAGATGTAAATGTATATGAGAATTTAACTTATTGTAACTGTACCTGTTTTAGTGTAAGGTATTATGAGAAATAGGAAAAAATAAATTGTTTTTGATCCTCTCACATTTAATACAACATAACACTCACCTGACAGCACATGTCTTACACCAGATGTATGGGTGTTTTTCTCTATACTCTGCAATTCAGTTTAGGTCTGATACTAACTAGAGTTGGTGCAGAGTCCAAAGGTTAAGGGCTCAGTTCCTCAAGATTGCACCATCAGAGGCCATTTGCAAATTTCATTTTGTGACCTGCATTTCTGACAACAAGCTATAAATTGGGGTTCTCATGTTTCCTTCCTTGGGTTCAGTTATTTGCTAAGTCAGCTCAAAGAATTTAGGTTTACCAATTTATTATAAAAGATTCTACAGAGGATACAAATGAATGAACAACCAAATAAAGAGAGATAGGACAAGGTCTGGAAGAGACATGAAAGCTTTTGTCCTCATAGAATTGAAGTGTACCACCCTTTTTGCACACCCTGATGCTTTCTAAACTTCATAACTTGGGGATTCTTTTTTGTTGTTGTTGGAGGATTCATCACTTAGGCATGACTGATTATTAACTCAATCTCAGCCTTCCTTCCCCTTCCCAGAGGGTATGTGTGGGGTGGTACTGAAAGTACTAGTCTTTTAATAATAGTTTGGTCTTTTTGGTGACCAGCCCCTATTCAAGAAGCCACAAGAGTTACCTCCTTAGATCAAAAGGCACTCCTATTACCCAGGAAATTCCAAGGGATTAGGAGTTCTGTGCCCAGAATGGAGGCAGAGGCCAAATATGTATTTTTAAATATATTACTGTATCACAGGTATAAATCATTAAAATTGAATTGGGAAAGTTGGCTATTAATTTTTTAACTGAATTAAGAACTTTGTYTAATATCAGACATGTAGATAAAATCTAGGTATATTAAATATCAAGTGAAAAATTATCTAATTTAGAAAATAATAGAAATACAGAATATTTTTTAAACATTAGGAATGGGGAAGTCCTTTTTAACCAGAACAAGAATTCCAGTAGTCAATAAAAGTCAAATAGGAAATTTAGGCTGTTTAAAAGCCAGTTAAAAATAGTGATACCTTAGTTAAGCAATAAATGGGTGAAAATATTTTTAGCACAAAAATAGTACAGGTTTTAAAATTACTGAAATATCAATGCCTCACACAAATGAGTAAAAATTTATAAGCAACCTAATGTAAAAATGAGCAAAGAAATTGCACACAAAATTAAAATAAATGGCCCATAAGTATAAAATAGCTTAGGAAAATTTAAAAATAAACCCCAGTAATATAAAAGTATAAGGAAATGGATGCTGTCATGCCCTGTTAATGGAAGTATAATTTGTATACTCTTTTTGGCCATATCTTCAGTATTTAGAATACATAGTATTCTAGTATTCTAAATGTATAGTATTCTAAAAGCAGGTAGTCTTTTACCTGGTTGTTCTGTTGAGCAAATATCTGTTCTAGAGAGTGTTTTCTCATTTGCACAAAATGAGATTTATCCAGTCTTAACAAATTATAAACAACCCAAGTCAGCTGATGATGGCTAAACTTATACTAAATAAAATTATAGAATTTATAAAGTTTAGAGGAGTTGGTGCTGAGGGTTCAGGAAAAGCCCATTGAGACTGTTTCTGAGCTGAGAAAAGAGAAAAAAGAGCCAACCATAAGAACATCTGTTGGAGGCAGAAAGAAGTTTCTGCAAAGCATCTAAAGTGAGATTGAGTTTGTTGTTTTTGAGGAACAGAAGAATGGAGTGTGCTGGAGTATAAACGAGGTATTTGTTATAGGATTTTGGAGAATACCCTTTACTTGATGTAGAATACTCCCTTCTGGTCCTGATTTGGTATGATTTTAATTATGAATAGCTAGTGAATTTTATCAATATCTGTTGAATTGATCATATTATTTTTGTTGATAAGTAAATTTTCTTCTTTTCACTCAGTTTAGCATGCTTAAAATAATGATTGTAACATTTTGATGCATTGCTAGATTTGGTTTTCTAATTTTTAGGATTTTTGCATCTTTATTTTGCTTGTGAAAGATATTTGTATGAATATTTGGTTAAACTTACCAATAAAATCATTTGGGGCTTTTTGGTTTTTATCCCCCCCATTGATTTTAATTTTTTTCTACTTACTGATTGGTTTATTTAATAGTAATGAGATTATTTAGTTTTTCTGTTTTTTCTTGAATCATTGCACTTATTTATAGTTTTTGATGATTTTTCTTTTTTATTAGTTAAAATTTTTTTATCTGAATAATATACTGTGAGTTTATTGTGTGTCTCTTTTCTTTTACATAACATACATAATTTTTTAGTCTTCTGTAGTTGTGTTGACCTCCTTCATTTATGTGTCTTCCATATTTGAAATATCAATTTATTGATTTTACTAATCCTCTCCTGGGAACTATTTTTTTTGCATTGTTTCTGTCTTATATCATGATTTTTTTATTCATTAATTTGTATTCTTACCTTTAAACTTTCCTTTAGTTTCTTTAAATTTTGTTTTTAGTTTTTTAAAATTTACTGTCAGTTTTTTTAATTTATTTTTTTCAATTTCTTGAAATGGATATGTACTGTACTAATATTCAGTTTTTTGTTTTCCCTAATATAAACAATTAATATTAAAATTTTTCCTCTTAGTATTACTTTAACTCCATCTCCCACATTTAGGTATATGGTATTTTCATATTTTTCAATTCTAAACATTTTTCCATGAGTTTGTAGTTAGTTGTTTCTAATTCTAATATACTGATTTTCTTTTTTTAGTATTGATTTTCACATTATTGATGTGTGGTAAAATGTGAATAGTTTTTATGTTGCTGTGCTTTGAAATTTGGTAATTTTGTAGTGTTATTCATTGGTTGAAAGAGAATTGTCTTATACCTGAAGTTGTATTTGTTCATAATTCAAATTTGTTAAATACTATCTTGATTTTAAAACTCAAGACATTATTGTTATTTTACATAATTGTACTATCAGTGTTTATTTAAAATCCCAGATCTTTGTTTGCCTTGCTTTTAATTCCTTGTTGTATTTCTGATCTTCCCTCTGACATCACCTTCTTCCCTTTAAAAAACACATCCTTTAAAATTCACATTAATTAGAGTTTTCTAGTGGAGTGCCCAGTTTTTATTAAAAAATTATGCTATTTTGCTTTAAATCTTGAAAGATGTATTTGCTAGATATAAAATTCTACATTGACAGGTTTTATTCTAAGCATGTTCCAAGTACAATGCCATTGTTTTCCAATGTGGATCTAATCTGAAGTCTCTTTGTTAGTGATCGCTCTTTTTCTTGAGATGCTTTAAAATACTGTGAGTTTATTGTGTGTCTCTTTTCTTATACATATTTTTGTTGTTTTATAGTTTCACATCATATTTAGGTGTAGGTTTGTTTTTTATGCGTTCTTTGGTATTTGAAGATTTTTTGAGGGGGTAGTGAATAT